ATACATAAACGTGTCTTTGTTATATACATATATATATATATATATATATATATATATATATATATATATATATAGATCTGCATAAATTTCTTTCTTTTGATCAAACTTTTTTTTTAAAAAGGAAAGTTTATTGTCCTTAAGAAAAATGCGTAAATGAGATAGCATGCAATTCATGGGGTAATTACTTTATAAGTACTATGAAACAGGAAAAGTTAAATCTTTTTGACAATGGTCGTTTATATTACTTTAGTGGCCATACATAGTGCACCAAAAATTTCCCTCATGAACTCGTATCGTATATATTGGTATGTAATTAATTTGTCAATAAATAGCGTTAGTCTTTTAGGAAAGCACTATAACTTAACAGCAAAGCAAATTTTTCGGCATGCAACATTGTTTCCTACCCAGAAACATGATTACAAACCCCATCCCCAGCCAACCTTAGCAAACAAGCAACATATAACGTCTAAAATGGGTCCCTAAATTGCAAATGAGTTTTTTTTTTTTTAAATTAGCGTTAATTAGTCTTGAAAAGGCTGGGACATACCACTATTTTAAAAAAAAAAAAAAATGCCAATTATTGTGAATATTTTAGTTTATGCAATATTACAAATCTAGAAAGGTGGAAGTAGAAATTGACTTGATTAAGCGAGGGACCAAATTTGCTTTTTCTTTTCTTTTTGACGGTAAAAAAATCTAGTAAGGACGACCAACAATAAATTACTCTTTTAATTGAACGCTATCAAAGAGATTTTTTGAATGCTGACAAGAATTTTCGTTGAAAGTCTAATTGTCATATTTTAATCCTCGATCGATGAGTAGCATCTTAGCCCTATCGAATGTACTAGCGATAAATATATATGGGATAGACACATTAAAGCAAGTACTAGGGTAATAGGACATTTTAGACCTCTCAAATTAGACCATCAAGCATTCGAATTTCTAACCACAGACCCACCATAATAGTCTATTACCGCTAGGTCACCCAACTCGTGATGATCAGGAGGAATTGTTTGTATCTTCATTTTGCGTACCTAGAAACCATCCACAATTCTCTCGTCCGCTTGTGATCAAAGAAAAAGAACCGAAATGTAGATACTAATTCCACTGTTTGAGTCCAACTTATAGAATCGCATATTCTATATTGTTATATAACTGATGATAAATTCTATGCAACTATACGATACAACTGTACGTCACCCGATACCATATTGGCATATCCACTTATACAAACAACAATATTAAAAACAAAAGCCTAAATGAGCCTAAGACTACTGTATTGAAGCCCGTCTCTATCACATCGTGCAAATCCAAAGAATGGAGAAATTTTAAAGAAATAAGGAAGGGTGATCTGGTCTTTGTAATTTGTGTATATAAACAAATAATATGATTCGTGTATTAATGATATAATCCCTTCCTCTTTAACTCTGCTCCTCTGAGAAAATATTCCCAGCGCAGAGGAAAATATGGGGGCTTCTTCGGAAATAGAGGAAACTACGCAACAAGAAGTTGTAACCAAGAAGAAGGGTGGCCTTAGAACAATACCATTTATCATAGGTTTATTATCTTTAAATATCCACATTAATCCTCGTTGTATCTCGTAATTTACTTTCCTACTTACATGAAAAAGTATAATGAATTTTATTTCATTTATTTATATGTCTAACAAAAGTAGTAATTTATTAAGTGAATTTGTTCATTTGGTGCAGCAAACGAGACATTTGAAAAGGTGGCGAGCTATGGGCTACTGGCTAACATGATGGTTTACTTGATCGAACAATATCATGTCAGCAACATCACCGGAGCTAGTATTTTGTTCCTGTGGGTTGCCCTAACAAATCTCACCCCCATCATAGGCGCTTTTCTATCTGATTCGTTCTTGGGTCGGTTTCGTGTGATCGTAATTGGAACGCTCATTTCTCTAACCGTAAGCAAAATTGTCTGAACCTTCTTGTAATTGATCACTCATTTACAAATTAAAATGTAGGTGCGCCATCGTAAATAGAAAAGACTTATTGATAATACGTGTTTATGAATGTCCACATTATATTATGAACTATGTCCAATAAATTTAATAAAACATATTCTAATACAAATGATCTGACGGTAATTTGATCATAATTCCTTGTTATTATGTCTCCCAGGGAATGATAGTATTGCTGTTAACAGCAATAATTCCAGACGCAAGGCCTCCTGAGTGTGACATAAAAGCAAGACAAAAATGCGTTTCTTCAGAGCTAAACCAACGATTACTACTCTATTTCTCATTTGCTTTGATGAGCATCGGAGCTGGTGGGATCAGGCCATGTTCCATGGCTTTTGGAGCTGATCAAGTGAACAGACCCGAAAACCCGAATAACGAGCGGGTCTTGCAGATCTTCTTCAACTGGTACTATGCTTCAGTTGGAATCTCCTTGATGATTGCAGTGACAGTCATAGTTTATCTTCAGGACAATGTTGGTTGGGTTCCTGGCTTTGGAGTTCCTCTAGGACTTATGTTGTTTTCAACTGTTATGTTTTTCTTGGGCTCTTCCTTTTATATTAAGGTAAAGGGAAACAAGAACTTGTTTTCTGGGATAGCTCATGTGGTTGCAGCTTCTTGGAAGAACAGACACTTGCCCATGCCACCAAAGAGCTTTGATGGATGGTATTATCACAAAGGTTCCAAACTTGTGTGCCCAACAGAAAAATTGAGGTACAAAACTAATATGTTCTTGTTAAAATAACTCAATTAGAATTTTTCTTAGAAAAGCTTAGTTTGCTTATTAATTATTTAGAATCAATATATTGGTATTGACGACCACAGCTTCTTCCCCCCCCTGTCCCTTGTCGCACATCCAAAAATACATTTATAATTGAACAAAAAAAGTAATCAATTATGATGTTGAGTTCTTTACCATCAAATATTAAATTGATTAATCTTATCATTTGATAATATATGATAAGGTAAAACCCAGCAAATATCTCTACATACAGATAAATGAGAATCGCCTTTTCTGGTTACCGAGTTTTTTTTTTCCCCTTTTACATTTTTTTTTTTTTTTGGTTGTTTGTTGTTTTCTTTTTTCTAACCTTTCTTTTTGTTTTTATTTTTTTCTATCTTCTTATCTTATAGTTTTTTTGGTCCTCATACTTTTTTTCCTTTCTCTATTTTTTTTTTCTTATTTTGTAATTGCCCTCCCATATTTTAATATTTCTATCTTTTATGTTTCTTTCTTTTCACTTATTTATTTAATTTTTACTTCTGCCATAATATCTTGTATATTCTTTTTTTTTCTTTCTTTCTTCTTTATTTTTTTCCTTTTTTTAACAATATATACAAGTGTTATCTTAAAAAATGTCACGCGCGTTTTGCGCACGTAGTAGTGATTAGTATATTTTATAATATGTGAATAAAGAAAAAACACCTTTATTCAACCTTTGGTTACATCAAATTGTCTCACAATGAGCACTAAATAATTAATGGAACTTACAGAACAACTTGATCAACCCCGTTAAGGTTGAATATATATTATACTTGAAAATATAGCAATTTTATAGAATATTTGAAGAATAAGTTATGACACAATTACATAATGATTTTCATATGTAATGCTATAAAATTATAAATAGCGAATTATTTCAACATAATAGTAAGATTATTATGCCATAGACGATACTCCAATTTTGGAAAGATAACAATAATGATGCTAAGTGGGCGTTTAGTTTATAAATTTAGAATCATGATTCAGAACTATTTTCGTTTTACGTGTATTTTTTATGAAAAAAAAATACTATAAAAATAAATACAGAAAACAAACGTAGACTAAATGTGTGTTGCATATTACATGCAAAATCAGGTTCCTAAACAAAGCATGCATAATGAAGAGGCCTTCAAAGGACTTAACCCCAGAAGGGCTGGCAATGGACCCATGGAGCCTATGCACCGTGAGGCAAGTAGAAGAGCTGAAAGCCCTTATCAAAGTCCTCCCCATCTGGTCCACCGGCATCGTCATCGCCGCCACCGTCAGCCAGCATTCGATCACGCTAACGCAGGCCCTCGCCATGGACAAGCACCTCACCCCGCAATTCGAAATCCCGGCAGGCTCATTCTCAGTCTTCACACTCCTCACCCTAACCCTCTGGGTGGCCATCTACGACCGAGGCGTGGTCCCACTCATGTCACGGTTCACCAAGCACCCAAACGGCCTCAGCTTCAAACAACGAATCGGAATTGGTCTAGCCATCTCTTGCGTGGCGACTTCCGTCGCGGCGATCGTCGAGAGAAACCGGAGAGAACAGGCCGTTAGACATGGAGAAATCATGTCCGCAATGTGGTTAGTTCCGCAATATAGTCTAACTGGCTTGGCCGAGGCATTTAATGCAATTGGGCAAATAGAGTTTTACTATTCTCAGTTTCCGAAAAACTTGGCTAGTATTGCTGTGGCTCTTTTCACTCTCGGCATGGGATTTGGGAACTTGGTTGGTGCACTTATAGTGAAGATTGTGGGTGATTGTAGCACCAAAGGTGGGAGAGTGAGTTGGCTAGATAATGACCTAAACCGGGGTCGTTATGACTACTATTATTGGCTTCTCACTCTTGTGGGGTTCTTCAATTTTTTGTATTATTGTTTGTGTAGTTGGGCTTATGGGTCTTGTGAGGAAAGAAACATTTGGGATGATGAAGAAGGCGCGGAGAAAGGCAGAGAAATGGATCAAGATTTGCCCAAATCCAAGGAGTCACCAATATTTGTCTTGGCTGCTTGATTTACTATACTCTTTATTATTATTATTATTATTATTATTATTATTATTATTATT